CTGAGACTCATTTTGTGTCCTCCCATAAAATTTCCTACACAACTCCCAGGTATAAGAAATGCTATTGTTACCTCCGAATAACTTGTGGAACTACCACCGACACATACAAGTAACTTGTATGTAATTCTTTCCTGTGATCTTATCAAAGCAGAGTTCATAAATTATTTGGGTCTGGAAGATGACAGAGGAGTCTGGTACTGTATCTTCGGTAATTGATATCATTATTCTGGTCTCCCTGATTGTTAAGTCTGCCTCAATCTGGACACTTTGTTTTGGTAGTCCTGGAGATATTTATCAGAGTACTTCACAACATTGGTAAAAATTTGTGCTAAAATTCCTCTATTTGACCCAACCTTACTGTAGGAGGTATCTCTGAGCATATGATACACTTCCTTTCATAGTCCTCTTTGAGGACGGTAGAAGGTTAAGTCTATAACTTTCTTGGATTCAGTTATCTTCAACTTTCATTATTCAAGAATCTTCCATCCCTTAATTTCTCACCTCATTTTGTTCCCCTCTAACTGTAACTTCACAATATTCAGTAAAACAGAAACATTTTCTTTCACACAAGTGTTTGTAAGACATTTGACATGTATCTTTAGAGTTTTACATATATTTATAGAAGGCTATATTGTCTTTAATGATAGGGGAAGAGGGAATCCACTTTCCCACTGTGCTGTGTTATGTGCACTTTCACTTGCTTGTGCCTGTGCACAATAATCAGTGAAACAAACTCTCTAGGGGGTGTGTGGGTGAGAGGGATCATAAGTGCTATAGTTATTCAGACATGCTATTAATCAAGATACTTGATTTTTCAGCTTTGCTACCTGTGTTTTTCTGGGTCTTCCAAGAAACATACAGTAGTTTCCAATATGAGATTTTTTGTTTGGTCCTGGGAGTTGAATGTGTGACTTTATTCATAGTAAGTGCTGCACCCTCTATTACTGAGCTGTATCCTTAATCCCAGGCTAAGAGATTTACTGGAGGAAGTGCCTTACGGGCTAAAGGAAGAGGAAGCTTCATATTGCAATGAAAATCTTATACCTCAAAAGATAAAGGTGAGGGAAAATTTGGTAGAAAGGAATCCAGAGGATTAGGGTTAGGGTTATGGTTAAAATTATGGTTGTGGTTAGAGCCGCAGTTATGCAAAGTTCCTGGCTGGACCTTCGGGGAGCTACCTGAGCAAATGCTGCTCATTAGAAGAAATGGGCTTGTGTCAGGGCTGGCTTAGTTCAGAGATGTTGTGGCTGTGTCTAGACATCCCTTAAAGCCTCATAGAGTCAGAAGTGGCTGAATCCAGAACTTGTAGTGCTGGAATTGATTCATGTACAATACTAGGATCAAGGGCTCCAGGATTAAGAGTGTGAATGCTACCCACCCTAAGTAGCATGGTAAGATATAAGGGATAGAGAGAGCTTGATCATCCATATTGTTTCACTACCTTCTGCCCACCATGAACTCTTTCTCCTCTGCATTGCCCATCTCCTGTACCTCCCTGCCTTGGAGCCAGCTGATTACAAGCTAAAACCTCTACAAACTGTAAGCCAAGTAAACCTTTCCACTTTCAACTTTTGGTGTCAGGCATTTTTCTCAGCAAGGAAAAAAGTAACTAAGACAGGGTGTTTCTATCATTCATCACCATTGGCTGGGAGCATCCCAGAGTCAGTGCGGGTCATGTGAATGATATGGTACATTCTCCAATATGGCTGTTGGGGATTGTCAGCCAGTCACACTCCTTGCAGCAGGTGCTCTCGAAGATATATCTAAGTAGGTACTATCCATGACAACTACTGAGGCCTGTGTGCTATAGTTAGCCAGGTTTGTAAAAAACTATTTTATTGTATCAAAGCAATTTTGACACAGTCTTATTCATGCGAGCATTTCAATAATCATTATGTGATTTATCATTGGATATGCTCTTCTTTTACTCTGGTCATTTTATTAGAAGTAAAGTACTTACTACTGAAAAGTACAAAATTAATAGTTGGTATACTTGTTTCTGATTAGTCTGTTCTTTTGATCTTTAGCTAATCTGTTTTTAACAAAATCACCTGCTTCAAAAAGGTCCAGAAACTTCTTTCCGTATGGAAGCCAAGTCGTCTGTGGCCTAATTCAGCTTTGTCAGAATGCAGCTGTGTGCCTTGGAGAAATTAAATTTTTTCAGTGTACTAAGAGAAACTAGCTTAACTATCTTTGCGTATATAGATACATTGTTTTTCTTTTTCTCCTCCTTCCTTTCCCCCATCAGTTTCTTTTCATAAATGTCTTCTTTTTAAAATTTTTTTTTAGATTTTTTTTATTTTAGAAAGCAACACAGAAAAAAAGGATAGATCCATTCAATCCAGCTATTCTCCTCCTGGGTATTTTCCCAGGAAAATTGAAAAGGTTATGTCACAGTGATATATGTGCACAATTTTATAGTGTGTTTGTAGCAGCATAATTTGTAATAACTAAATCTTAGAAACAACCAAAATTCCCATCAACTGCAGAATGGATAAAAAAAGATGTGGTATTTTTATATAATGGACTATTACACGGCTATAAAAAAGATGATGTTGAGGCTTTTATAGGTAAATGGAGGCAACTTGAGAGTATCCTCATAAGTGAAATAAATCAGACTCACATTTATAAATATATTGTTTCTCTAGTGTAAAAAATAAATGATAATAATAAAGCTGTAAGAGTAATAAGATCCAAAATGTATAATAGATATTGTAATAGTTAAAGAGAAAGAAAGTGCTAGAAAGGAAAGAACAACCTATAGGTATACACATATAACTGAGTATGTTTAAGTGTGCAAGATAGATAACCATACTACTAAGTTTTTGATAGTCCATCAAACAGAATGGTTTGTGCTGTCATTCTTCGGTTGCCTGCTCATTTTTATGCTTTAATTTTGTAACTTGGATAGCTACTTCTGAGATAGCAATATGTAATATATCAACTAATGATTTCTTAATGTTACTTTTGAAATTCTGTATCATTTTTTACCATTTTTATGTTTTATTTCTTTTTTAAATAAAAAAAGAAAAAAGGGTAGAAATGATACAGATTTTTTTAAAAAGTAGAGAATTAACACGAGTAAATATATTGCATATTGCTATCTTAGAAGTAGTTGTTCAGGTTATAAAATATAGGCACAAAAGAGATCAATCAAACAATGACAGTGTAAACTATTCTTTTTGATGAACTAAAGGAGATTAATAGTATAATTATCCATCAAGCATACATATACATACATACATACATTTATATGTTCCCCAACATACACATAATCTTTTCCCTTCTTCCTCTTCTGCTTTCCCCCATCCCAGTTGTTCTTTCCTTGTGAGCACTTTCTCCCCCTTTTATTATTACAATATCTATATTGTATATTTTGGATCTTATTATTTTTTCAGATTTTTATTTTTTATTATTTTTTTATATAGGAGTAGACAGTATGATATTTATAAATGTGAGTTTGATTCATTTCACCTATGAGTATGGTCTCAAGTTAGCTCCATTTCCCAAAAAAGTCTCAAGATTATCCTTTTTTCATAGATGAGTCATATTCATTCATTAGATTGATTCCTAGGGATATAAGTTTTTAAAACAGTTTCTTGTAATACTCTGAATTACAGTGGTGTTTGTTTCTTTTTAAGCTTGTCAAACATTTTATTAATTAAATCATTTATATTTATTTAAATCCTTTAAAATTGCTAACATTATTAATTTGCTTATTACTTTTTCTTTTATCTAGGTAAATATTTTGTCCATTTGGTTTCTAGATCTTCTCTCCTTCACTGCCTCTGGCATCAGCATTGGCAGTGTGAAGGTTTTTTGGAAGAATTCAGTTGCTTTGGATTCTCATGTTTCTATAGTTTTTGTGTGACCAGTTAAAGATCAGTTAGGGTAGAAAATCTCTGTCACCACCACCACTAACTAAAGATCTCTTTCATTAGTTGGTTTTTGTATTGTTTTATTTTTGTGTTTGTACCTCTCTTCAACTTACTCAAAGTGATATTTCAATAGGAGACCATCATTGTCCCATTAAGAACAGAAAAGATATCAGCAAGTATTTATAGATTCAAAGCTTACCTGATTATTCATATGCCATAAGAAACAATAAAATCTATACTTATACTACCTTTAACAAGAGAAGAGCAGTCTGCAGTAACAATATAAACACAATATGAAAGCAAATACTGACATATGCTAAATATCTACCAAAAGTAACAACTATGCCACTATTAACCACAGAAAAGAAATCAGCTATCATATCATAGAATGAATTAAAAATTAATGAAGCTTAATAGTAATAATAGTAGCCAGGCTGGCAGAATATACCTGTAATCCCAGAACTCAGAAAGCTAACACAGGATGAGTTCTACAAGTTTGAGGCCAGCCTAGGTGAGTAAGTTCAAGGCCATAGTAACTACATAGTAAGTTCAAGGCCAGCCTGAACTACAGAGTGAGACCCTGTTTCAAACAAATTCAGAGGTTGGGGTAAGGGAAAATGAAGGAAGAGACAAAATTTGAAAAAGAAAGAAAAAGATGAGAAAGAACACAGAAAAGTGAGATAAAAGTCCAATTAAAGAAAATAAGTATAATTAGATAAAGTTGCCATAAAACCAGAAAAAGAAAAGAAAAATCAGAAAAAATAATTTTAAAAAAGTGAAAGTAAAGTCAAACAAGTAAACAAAACACTCAAAACAAGCAAAAGAGAAAAAGGGGGGGGGAATGTGAGAAATCAATGCAAAATAATTCTTCATATTGTGATGTTGGAGTTAGAGCTTCCTTCCTGAGCTCTGCTATTGGAATTCAGCATATTCGGGGCAGGGACAGTAAAGCACACTCCTCCCATTGTGTCACCATACTGACTTTTTTTCTGTGTGACTGGAGCTGGCTTGGCCTTTCCTGCTGGGTTCTTAGCAGACTAATACACTTATCATATACATCCATGATCCAGCCACCTCCCCAAATGTATTGGAGGAATAAGGTGTGTATCTCTCTCTTGCCAGTTTCGGCCTTGCTGTTTGCAGCCACCATGAACTGCGGCCCCACTATGATACCCTGTCTTGGAGCCAACTGAGTATGGACTGAAACCTCCAAAAACTGTAAGAAATAAACCTTTCCTTTCCCAATTTTGGGCATCAGGTATTTTGTCTCAGTGATGAGTAAAAAGTAACTAAGACAATATTCATATAAAAAAGACAATTACTATGCATCAGTATAATAGAAAAGATGTCTTGAAGATATGTCAAGGATCCAGAAAAAGAGTTTCTGGGTCCCCTTGTTGAGGTGGACTACCTCTGGAATTGCCTTCCCAAGATTCATTTCAATGTGTTCAGCCATTCTGGCACTCAGAGACCACTGAAGCTATCCTCTAGGGGAGCTTGGCTACAGCTTGAGCTGATATCAGGCTTTAGTGACCACTTACCCTACACCAGAACAGAAGGGGAGTGGAATTACTGACTGGTCTGATGCAGGATATGGATAATGCCTGATGAGAGAAGAGAACAATCAGATCCCATAAATATTTACTTTAAGTCCAACAGTCTAGGTGAGCCCTGCCCTGCAACTTGCATTCATCAGGGACCAGGTGGCTGATTATTTTCCCACTGACTATTTATTTCTGGTTGATTTCTTTATAGTATCCATTTTTTTCTGGAGATAGAATCTTCGCATTGCTTTAATTTGCATCTTTCCAATGACCAGTGATGTTAAACATTTTGCCATATACTTATTTGCTGTTTCTACTATTTTATCTAAAAAGTGTGTATTTATTTAAGATGACCATTTTTTGATTGTGTTTTTAAATGGAGGGAGGTATCTGAGTTTTTGAGTTCTTTATTGCAGTTCTTGGTCTCATAAACAGCTGGCAGAAAATTTTTCCCACTCTGTGGGTTGTCTCTTTGCTATGTTAATGATTTATTTTGCTGTGCAGAAGATTTTTAATACGATGAGATTCCAGGTGTTGATTCTTTGTGATAATTCCAGTGCAACTGGGGTTTTGTTCATAAAGTCTTTGCCTACACCTATGTCTTCCAGAGTTCTACACATTCTGTCTTCCAGTAGATTTGAAATTTCCATTTTAATATTTAGATCTTCGACTCATTTTGATTTTAGTTTAGTGGATGGTCACAGAGATGAGTCTAGTTCAAATCTTAGTGTATGGAAAGCCAGTTTTTCTGATATCACTTATTAAAGAGGCTATCTTTCTTTCAGTGAGAATGTTTGGTTCGAAGACAAGATGGTTGAGTGTATTAGGAGTTGTTTATGCATCTTCTAATTTGTTTCATTGATCCTTGTTTTTTGCTAGTATCATGCTGTTTTTATCACAGTAGCTTTGTGATATAATTTCTAGTCAGGGATAGTGATGCCCTTGGCCTGGATTTTGTTGCCCAGAATTGCTTTTGCTACTCTAGGTCTTTTCTGGTTCCAAATTAATTTTAGGATTGTTTTCTTTAACTTTGTGAGGTAAACTATTGGTATTTTGATTAAGATTGCATTAAGTCTGTAAAACAATTTGAGGAGTATGGCCATTTTCACGGTATTCATTCTTCTTACCCTAGAACAAGGGAAATGTTTCCATTTTCTGATGTTCTCTCTTCAGTCTCCTTTTTTAGAGTACTCTAGTTTTCAGTGAAAATATTTTTTACTCCCTTTGTTAGCTTCCTATTCTCCATTCCTTTTCTCCAATACATTTTCCTACTCTTAACCTCAATTCTTTCTTAGAATTTGTTATGGTTTATGATCAGAGGCCTCCCTCTCCCAAGCCTTATGAAATCATGGACCTGGCCAAATCTAGCGTTTGCGATTGGTTCCTGGTCTAGTGCTCAGGTGGTATGAGTGCTATACCCACCCAGGAGTGGAGCCTGTAACAGAGCCTGTAACATACAATGTAACAGGGAAGAAAGCGTGTCTTCTCTCTCTTTTGCCCGACTTGTGCTTGCTGTTTACCACCGCCATGAACCGCTGCCCCTCAGGCATGTCATTTTGCCTTGGAGCCAACTGAGTATGGACTGAAACCTCCAACCTGTAAGAAATAAACCTTTCCTTCCCTAACTTTGGGCATCAGGTATTTTGTCTCAATAACAAGAGAGAAAAGTAACTAAGACAGACTTCATTCTTTGACTTTGGGGAACATGAACAGTGTATTTGGCATTTTCCCTGTATCATAGGCACTGGAGCAGGAGTGGTCATGCTGTTCCACCGCCTGCCCTCACCACCACTGCGGTTCCCCTGTTCATTCTTCACTGTAACTTTCCTAACACTGTTAATTTCCTTTCATTCCAAAACAGGAAACCCATCTTTCTTTTCTCTCTTCTATTTCACATTCTATTGTTTTAAAATTATTTTTCAGCCTTTAGTTCCCTTATACCTTTCATAGTATAAATACGAAGCTTTGTGAATCTCTAGATAACTAGTTAATGCTATGCTATTACTACTGAATACTCTCCTATTGTTAATGGAATAAAGTTTAGAGGAAATTTACTGCAGGTCAAGAGTAGGTTAATATTTGGTTTGTCTTAGTGTTTATATTTTAATTATAGATTTCTTTTCCTTGGTTAATGGTGTAAATTATTGGTCCCTGTGTTATTACTATTGCTGCTTTTATTACTGTAGTCAAGATGACATAGTTGCTGCTATTAATTAGTTTTCTCTGGATGCCAATATCTAGATTGCCTTGTACTCATTAGCATTACCTGGAGAACTGGGCACTGTGCAAAATATGCAAAATACCTTTCTTCCCAAGTAAATGAAGGTGATTGGATTCTGAGATAGAGGGAGAGACACACCTAAATCACACCACTAAAAAACATACATTAACTAAAGAGGTAACAAAGCTTGCCACTATAATCAACTCATAAGCCTCAACTTGCATGTGAAAAGAAATAAACAAAAAATAGAAACATGAGAAAACAAAGCACCAAAATGTCTCTAAAAACTCTCATCTCTTGCAAAGATGATCTGAAGGGCACTAAAGGGGAGAAAACCAAAATTGACACAGCCGATTTATTTGAGAAGATACTAATAAAGCAGATCATTAAGGTGCTTGACAAGATCACAGAAAATATAAATAAACAGATAATGGGCCAAAGAAATGAAATGATCAGTGAGTTTTCAGAAGACATTAATAAAAAGATATAAGAGCTAAACAAAATTATGCAAACCATGAATGAACAACATAGAAAAGAATTAGAGTCCATAAAGAGGTTCCAAATAAAATTTCAGAACATTAAGAATTTTATTAAATGTATGAGCAAAAGAAGATCAGTGTGAGGACAGAGTGTCAAAACTAAAAGGCAGGGCTGTTTTCAGTGGCCAATTAATAAGAAATATCTAAAAAATAATAAAAGAACATGAAAAATGGACCTAAATGCTACTGGATGATACAAAGATGGCTAAATTAATTGGAATTAGTGAAAAATCAGAAGACAGCCCAAACATATTTACTGAAATAATAGCAGAAAGCTTTCTAAATATGGGAAAAAATTAAAATGTAGATAAATGAGGATATAGAATCTCAAAGAGCCATGATCGCTAAAGAAATTCTCCTAGACGTATTATAGTCAGTCATGGATGTCCACCATAAGGGCAGAATTTTAAAAACGGCGAGGCAAAAGCAATGAATCACTTATAAGGGTAAACCCCTTAGAATTATAGCAGATTTCTCAACATAAACCTGAAGGCCTGGAGATCTTCGAGTGAGGAGTTTCAAGTCCCTAAATAAGACAGCTCCCAACTCAGGCTGATATATCCTACAAAACTGTGTTTTGAAATTGATGGAGAAATAAGCTCTTTTCATGATAAAGAAGATTGAAAGAAATACACGACCATGACTAGTGCTCCAAAGAATTTCTCAGTGATACCCTAGAAAAAGACAATGAAGTTAACAATGGCAGCAAGTCTTATAGAATGAGTACACCAGCTAGAGTGAGAATTTAAATAGGAAAGACCAGGAAGTCAGCAACAGAAAAATTAAGCAATGACAAGCTAAGTCAATACCTATCAATAATAACTCTTAGTATGAGTGGTCTCAATTCCCTAATCAAAAGACATAGATTAGTAGGTTGGGTCAAGAAACAAAATCAAGTTGTATAATGTAAGAAGAAACACATGTATCCCCAAAAGAAACTCCTTGACTAAAACTCAAAGAATGGAAAACAATCCCATGCAACAGGATTCAAAAAACAAATGAACGAACAACAACAACAAAACCAAGATATGCCATTATCTTATATTCAGAAAAGGTGGGTTTTAAGGAAAAATTTATCCAAAGAGACAAAGAAGGTCACTTCATATTGGTTAAAGCAACAATTCAAACAGAAATCAATGGAGAAAAAAACCCCAGAAAATGATGTAAATGCATATGCACTATTAATACACTCTTAAATAAAGTATTAGATAATCACTCTTAAACTATAGACACTTATATAATCAATGAGTTACAAAAGAAATCAAAGAAAAATAAGACAATTTCTAAAGAATAAAGAATGTTGCCAGTACAACACTGCAGAATTTATAGGACACAATAAATGCAGTGCTGAAGTGAGGATTATAACTGTGAATGCCCACATCACAAAAATGAAGTGAGTCCAAACAAATAAACTAATGCTGCATCTCATGGTCCTAGAAAAATAAGAACAATCCAGATTCAAACCTAGTACAAGGAAGGAAATTATAAAGATCAGAAGCCAATGAAATTGAGACCAATAACACAATATAAACAATGAATTAAAGAGTTAGCTCTTTGAAAGACTAAGCAAAACAGACAGCTTTTTAGCCCATCCAACCCTAAAAAAGGAAAGAAGAGACCCACATCCATGCAATTAGAAATGAAAAAGGTGAAGTCACAACAAATAATTCTGAAATCAAGGATTATTAACAAGTACTTTGCAAGCCTGTATACCAATAAATTGAGAATTTGGAAGAAATGGATAGATCTCTAGATACATGTGGATTATCAAACTGATCAAAGAATATTTAAAAAGTCTGGTAATGCAATAACAGGAAATGAAATCTACTAGTTTTTGTTACTTTTCTTGTTGCCGAGATAAAATACCAAAACCCACAAGTTAAGGACGTAAGATTTATTGCAGCTCAGGGTTTG